GGTAGCTCGGGGGCCCTTGGCTAGGAAGCCCCCTAAACAACCTCAGAGGTCCCCAACCCATGCTAACAAGGTGAACTCCAGGGCTGGGCCCTGCTTCTCTTAGCTACCTTGGTCCTATCACTACTTAGCTGGTACCCAGGCATCAGGGCTGTACCAGAGAACAGCCTAGCCTTCAGCTTTAGAAAATTCATATGTAAAGAAGTGAAGGGAAAGAACACCTGTGTGGCTGCCCAACATCTGTGTATTTGTTCCTCATGTCCCTCCTGTCCAGTTTAGATTTTACAGTTCATCACCTCAGAATCCTCTTTGGGCAAGAAACTCGGAGTTCATCTGCCCTCCTCAAGAACTGAGTATCAACCTCACAGCCCCCAAACTGCTTCATGCTCTTCTCTAGCCCTGCCACTCACTTCACCCTCACTTGCTATGGAGTCCTGGCCTGAAAACTCATCTTCCTCAATCACCTGCACTCACGGAGGAGGCCAGGGCCAGGTCATTTCTGTGTTGTGTAACTGTATCTTTCTCCCTTTGTCACCTGAATTTGTCCAGTTGATTTGGTAACTACTTTGTCTTAGCTAAGCCTCCCATGGCAGAACACCACAGACCTGGTAGCTGCAACAACAGAAAATTCTGGAGACTGAAAGTCTCAGATCAAGGGCAGGACTGGGCTGGTTTCTCCTAAGGCCTGTGTCCTTGGCTTCAGATGGCTCTTCACTGTGCCCTCTAGGTGAGGCACGTGCACCTCTTGCACCTAGAAGGTTAGGAATCTCAGGTGCATGTGCTGCACCCCGCTTCCCTCACCACCCTAGGCCATGTTCTCACTTGTTAGACTCCCAGTAGCCTTTGATGCTGCACATTATTGAAACAGTGTTCCCTTGTCCCCATGCTGAGGATGGAACCGAGGCCCTCCCACAGGCTAAGCAAGTGGCTCTGTAACTGAGCTGCACCCCCAATCTCCAGTGACCACTTTTAACCCACATTGTTGGCTAGTTCAGCACGGCTGACTGTGCCCCTGCCCAAGCTGTTCTTTGTGCCTGATGCATGAGGCAGATCATCCCTTTCCCTTTCCTGGCCAGTTCCCATCCCCTCCTCTGTCTCACCCAATCTACAGGATGTCTGTCCCTCCAAGTTCCAGGCGTGGGAACAGCCATGTCTGATTTTCTTTGCTGCACTCTGTCTCCATCACCCCAAACCTGTCTCAGGCGGAAATGTCCCACACCACTCACCTCACCTCAGAAAATATTCTCTGGCTCATCTGGCTGCACCAAGCCAAGCCTCTTGACTGCTCTCCTACTCCTCAAGGGCCCGCCTGTTGAACCTCACTCTAAATGTATCCCCTGTGTTCCACCACTGCCCTGTCCCAGCCAAGCCACGTGGTTCAGCTCCTCCCCTAACTTCCTGCAGTAGTTCAAGAATGGTTTGCTATGCCTCTTCCCGAATGCAAGTTGAGGCAATGGTTAAAAGTACACTCAAGCCAGACTGCGCTTAGATCCAGTTTCTAGCTGTGTGGCCTCAGGCCATTTACTGAACTTCTCTGAGCCTGTTCTCAACTGTAAAATGAGGAAGGATAATTGCACCACTTGGGATTCCAAAGAAAGTGAATGAACTTAGTATCCTGGCGTTCTGGACCCTGGCCCTGCAGCCAAAGTCACCATCACATCCTTGTCATGGGCTCTTGGCCAAGTGATCTAACCTCTAAGATCTTCATAAGATGGGAAGAACTCCAATCTCATATATGTGAAAAATCTAGTGAGATATTCCATTGCCTTGTCTAACACATAGAAACTCTTAGAAGCGTTGGTTATTATTTCTTCTAAAATGCAAATCTAGTCGCAACACTCTTAAAAGCTTGTAACCTGCTGTGGCTCCCCACTATTCAGAGATAAGAGACCAAAGTCCTGCCCCAAACCCCACAGCCTCATGGGGGCTAGTTCCTGCCTGCTGCTTCACCTTCCACACACCTGTTCCAGTCATAGGACTTTTCCTTAAGTCTCTCTCACACCTGGTCTTTGTACATGCGTTTCCATCTATCTGGAAGAACACTGTCCCCTCTTCCGAGTGGTTAACTTTCACCCAACCCTTCAGATCTCAGCTCAGGGCCACCTTCTTAGGGGAGCCTTTCTGGACTTCCAGTGTGGTGTTGGCCCACCTAGGGTCATGCCTTAACTTCTGGATGATGTAGCTCTTAGCTTAAGGTCTGTGACTTTGGGAACTCAGCAGAGACCATGTCTGGCTCCACTCAAATCCCTGTGATCTCCTAGCACTCAGCACAGTGTTTGTTTGGCACGTAATAGTTACACAGGCAGTATCTGAAGGATGAATGAGTGAGAGACTTGCTCCTCATACTCCTCAGCACCCACAACAGGGCTAGGACCTGTACAGGAGTGGGGAGCCCAACAATCACCAAAAGAAGAGAAGCCCTTGCTGGCTGCTACCTTGGGCCTCAGAGACCAGGATAGGTTAGTGGGCAGGCCCTGATGCTGGCAGCCACCCAGCCCACCTTCCAGAGAGCAGAAGGCAATGTCAGCTGTCATAACAAGCCTTAGCCAGCCAGCAATACACCTTTGTTTATCTGTTAAGGTTCCTGTTAGCCTGAGGAAGAGGTGACACCAGTAGAAGAGACCAAAGCTTAACGATTATGTGACTGGCTCAGAGTCAGATCCAGGGAAGGAATGAGACCCTACCCAGAGCTCTAGGCAACCAGTCTCAATTGCTGTCTCAGCACAGCCAGGGGCGGGGCCAGCATGGCAGGCCCGAGGATCGAACCCCCGGCTCCTGCGCCTGCTTGCAGGTGCTTTAATGTGCTGAGCTATTTGGCCAGCCCCCTATTTTCAGTATTTTTATATGTAAATAAAAATACATTTTCCTATCTGCTGATACAGTTTCCTACAAAAAGGCTGAGTGTAAGTGCTATGGACAGTGGGTGCCCTGCATTCCACTTCTTTTAGGGGGAAGATCCAAAAGATGGCTCCCTAGCAGAACTCGTATACCATCAGTGTGGTTTTTCACAGCTGTGTCCTGTGCCATCTAGGAGTTCATCTTGGCAGTATGGAGCCATTCTGTGTATGCTCGAGGGATGAAGAGAATGGATTCCCTGTTCTCATGGTTCTTTCTATTTCTCTCATCTCTCCTCGTTTTTCCTTTCGTAACAGCTTGATTCAATATAAAATCCAGGGGCCGGGGAGATGGCTCAGTAGAATAAGTGCTTCTCTGGCAAGCGCAAGGGCCTGAGTTCAATCCCCGGTTCTGCCCCCAAAAAATAAAAAAATTACATATATGTATGTAATCCACCCCAAACAGTACACCCAGTAACATGCCCAGTACTGTTCCATTCATACTGCATCTCAGTGCTTACACGGTACCTGAAACACAGCATGATTCTCAGAAATTAAATGAACAACAATAACAAGGAAATGAACAGGCACAACAGTGCTGGCTACAAGATCTTCAGAGACAGGCTGAAGAATCCAGGTAGGGGTCTAAGCAGAGACATGACCTGGGTGACCCTCACTGGCACATCAGAGAAAAGCCCTGTGGGAGGCCTGGCTGTGTCTCTGTCTTGTTCAGTGGCTCAGTCAGGACCTAGAACTCCTGGCTGGATCAGGTTCTGGATCAGCACAGCCAAGCCCCTGCCTCCACCCAAGCCGTTCTTCTGGGTGATGACCCAACACATAGGAGCTTAAGTGGGCAGGATGCTTGACTAGAAAGGCAGCTCTGGATCCTGCTGGCCTGGGTTCTGCCCTCCCAAACTAAGTGGCCTGAAATAAGTCACTATATCTCTCCAAATCTGGGTTTCCTCACCTGGAAAATGGAGATAAGACAACTTCCTACTTCACAGGCCTGTTGAAAGAATCTCATGAGATCCCTCTGTGTGACACACCTACCCCAGGCCTCACTAGAAACCAGCTCCCAAAGAGTGGGGACAGGGGTGGATGTCAGCCGTATGAGCTCAGAAAAACCAACTCCTCTGCCCTTTGTTTTTCCTCATAAAAGCAGCAGCAACAGCCAGAGAGGTGGGAAAGTGAACAACATGATAAAAGGTGACAGGGACTGTGACCATCCCCTCAAAATCCACACTGCAGGAGCCCGACTCCTTGCATGCCTCCTGCCCAGAAAGCCATCTAATCATCCCAGTTTCCATCCAGTACCCTGTCCACTCCCAGAGGTTACCTGCAGCAGGCACCCCCAGCCCTAGACATGGCCTTTGTGAATGACTGGTGTCCCACAGGTTCTCATGAGTCTCAGGGAAGAGAAGCAGAATCACATGAAGAGGCAGGAACAATGAGCAAGGAGAGACAGAGAGAGGGGGCCTGCTGAGTCCCTCTTACCTCCCTTCCCCACCCCCACACCTTGCCCTGCTCAGTGATATGGCAGCCAGGCTCTCCCAGATGCATTATTCAGCTCCTCAGAGCTTGCCAGCTCCTGTTACACTGACCACAACACCTGTCCTGCCTACTCCCTTTCTTGGAGGTCCAAGATTCCCCTTCCCCATGATTTGATATTCTCTCATACTCTAGGCTCAGAAGACCCTTTTGTATTTTAGACACAGTGCAGGGATGCTGGACAGTGCTGGATGGCTTAGGGCAGGTAGTGTCCCCTCTCTGGGGCCCAGAGAGGCAAGTATCTAGGGGAATTGGGCCAGCTGAGACACAGGGAGGGCCTGAGTAGAGTCACTCAGCCGTTGCCATGGTGACTCTAAGGCCAGGATATTCCCCCAGTACAGGCCTCCCCAGACTTCCCTGCTTGGTAAATAACACCCATGAACTTTCCACTACTGCTTGAAGGTGAAACCCAAGGCGGCTCCTCAGGAGATGAATTATGGATCCGCCCTCCCAGAATGCTGGCCCTGTCCCTTCCCAAGTCACTCTGGCCAGTCCTGTCTGCTGGGAGACAGAGGCGGCTGTGTGTCCAGCTGCACACAAGGAGACCTAGCAGATTCCTCTGACTCCACGTCCCTGAACTGGTGACAGAGGCCTCAGGCCCACTAGGAGCAGAAGGCCATCATGGCGAAGGAGGAAGATGAGGAAAAGAAAGCCAAGAAAGGAAAGAAGGGGAAGAAGGCCCCAGAGCCTGAGAAGCCCAAACGGAGCTTGAAGGGTACATCTCGGCTGTTCATGGGCTTCCGAGACCGTACACCCAAGATTTCCAAGAAGGGCCAGTTCCGGAGTGCATCAGCCTTCTTCTGGGGCCTCCACACCGGCCCCCAGAAGACCAAACGCAAGAAGAAGGCCCGCACAGTACTCAAGTCCACATCCAAGCTCATGACACAGATGCGCATGGGCAAGAAGAAGCGGGCAATGAAGGGCAAGAAGCCCTCCTTCATGGTGATCCGTTTCCCAGGCCGACGGGGCTATGGCCGCCTCCGACCTCGAGCCCGGTCACTCAGCAAGGCATCCACAGCTATCAATTGGCTTACCAAGAAGTTCCTCCTCAAGAAGGCTGAAGAGTCTGGCAGCGAACAGGCCACTCTGGATGCCTGGCTCCAGCGCTCTGACTCCCGCATGGGGTCCCAAAAGCTACCTTTCCCGTCGGGAGCTGAGATCCTGCGGCATGGAGGCCGGCTCCGCAGGTTTCCCCGCAGCCACAGCATCTACTCTTCTGGGGAGCCTGTCGGCTTCCTGCCTTTTGAGGACGAGGCGCCCTTCCGGCACGCGGGATCCCGCAAGTCCCTGTATGGGCTAGAAGGCTTCCAGGACCTGGGCGAATATTATGACTACCACCGCGAGGGCGATGACTATTACGACGAGCAATCGCTGCACCGCTATGAGGAGCAGGTGCCCTACCTGCCTGGCTACGGTCCCTACAGCCCGGCCTGGCCACCCTATGCCGACTACCCTTACGGATACCCGCCTGAAGACCCCTACGAGTACTATCTCCCCGACCACTATGGCAGCTACTTTTTCCCTGGCCACGGCTATGGCTACGATGACTATGAGCCCCCATACGCGCCCCCATCTGGGTATTCATCCCCCTACAGCTACCCGGAGGGACTTGAGGGAGAGGCCTACCCCTACAGCTACTACCTGGATCCCTATGCGCCTTACGACGTGCCCTACCCAACCTATGACCTGCCATATGAGACTCCCTACGATGTGCCCTACCTTGATCCCTATGGTGTCCCCTACACTGCCCCCTATGCTGAAGGCATCTACGCTGGAGGTGATGAGGCCATCTACCCACCAAGGGTGCCGTATCTTTACCCAGAAGAGCCGGCCTTCGCGTACCCCTGGGCACCACCTCCCATCCTGTCACCCCACAACCCATACGCCCACCCAATGGATGACATCGTGGAACTGGAGGAGCCAGAAGAGGCAGGTGAGGAGCAGCGAGGCACTTCCTTCCGCTTGCCTAGCTCTGCCTTCTTCGAGCAGCAGGGCATGGACAAGCCCGCCAGGTCCAAGCTGTCCCTCATCCGCAAGTTCCGCCTCTTTCCACGGCCTCAAGTGAAGCTGTTCGGGAAGGAGAAGTTGGACGTGCCCCTTCCCCCGTCCCTGGATATTCCACTGCCCTTAGGGGATGCGGAGGAGGAGGAGGAGGAGGAGGAGATGGCTCCAGGGGCCGCGACGCCCTACAGCCACCCCTACTGGGCCTTCCTCACACCGCGCCAGCGCAACCTGCAGCGCGCGCTGTCTGCCTTCGGGGTCCCCCGCGGCCTGGGATTCAGCCCGGAGTTCGGCCGCCCCGCTCCTCGCCCTGCCACATCGCTGGCGCGATTCCTCAAGAAGACGCTGTCGGAAAAGAAGCCCATCCCGCGGCTCCGGGGCAGCCAGCAGGCCCGGGGGCGCGGCCCCGCAGTCAGGGAGGCGGCCTACAAGCGCTTCGGCTACAAGCTGGCGGGCATGGACCCCGAGCGACCCAACACGCCCATCGTGCTGCGGCGCGCCCAGCCGCAGGCGCGCAACAACAACAACTCCCACCGCCCGCGCTCGCCAGCGCCCGCGCCCGCGCCCGCGCCCGCGCCCGCGCCCGCCCCGGTGCCCCGCGCCCTGTCCCACTGGAGCGCGCTCCTCTCCCCTCCGGTGCCCGGGCAGCCCCCCAACCCCGGCCCGCCGCCCGCCCCCCCCTTCTCCCCGCCGCTGGCCCGTCTGCCCCGACTCACCTCGCCGTATGGGTCTCTCCGCCACCACCCGCCGCCCTGGGCTGCCCCTGCCCACGTGCCCCTCGCGCCCCCCGCAAACCTGTGGGCCTTCGCAGAGCCCCCTCCCACCAGCCCCGAGGTGCCCCCCAACCTGATGGCCTTTCCTGTGCCGCAGCCCTCCTTCCGGGGCTCACGTCGCCGAGCAGGGGCGCCCTTCGGCTTCCCTGGAGCCTCCCCACTGGCATCAAGGAGAAGAGCCTGGCGCCCCCTGCCCTCGCCCCAGCCTTCGCTGAGGAGCCTTCCAGGCCCAGGCTACCTCTCACCCTTAGGGCCCCTGTCCCCGCAGTTGTCCCTCCGCAGGGGCCCGTTCCAGCCACCTTTCCCTCCCCCGCCTCGCCGACCTCAATCGCTGCGGGAGCCCCTGGCCCCACATCGAGCCTCTGGGTACCTAGGCCCACCCCGCTCACCTGTTCTGGGTTCACCCCGACCATCCTCACCACCTCCTCTGCTGGGCCACCGCCCAAAGCAGCGATCCCTCAACTTACCCTCACGTCTCCCGCACACATGGCGGCGTCTCAGTGAGCCACCCACCCGAGCGGTGAAGCCTCGAGTGCTGCAGCCCTTCCACCTGCCTCCCAGTGCAGGTTCTTGGAGAGTGGCTGCCGGGACCCCGGAGCACAGGGGGAGCCAGAAGGAACTAGAGGACTCTGACACACCCTGGATTGTGCCTCCACTGGCCCCCACCTGGGACGCAGATGTGCCTCCCACCCAGCGCCCACCCTCCCCCTGGCCTGGAGGTGTGGGTAGCCTTCGAGGCTTTTCCAGAGCATCACCTCTGCCTAAGAATCCCTTCCTTCAGCACGTGGGCCCCCTGCCATCTCCTGCTCCGCCGCCTGAGGACCCAACCTCAGACTCAACCAGTGTCTTCTTCGGCAGACACCAGGAGCCAGGGCCTGGACAGCTCACCAAATCAGCTTCCCCAAGCTCTGACCATACTGAAGAAGCTACCCCACCTGAACCCCAGGCACCAACAGAGCCTGGGACTTGCATCCAAACATCTCCCAAGGATGTGGTCCCAGAACAGAAGGTGTTAAGGCTCAGCCTCTCATACCCACGGGCCACATGTGACCAGGCAAGGGCCACATGGCCACCATGGCGCCGCTGGAAGACACTGCCCAGAGCCCCTGCCTTCTTTGCCCCCACTGGTCCCCCAGAGCCTCTGCCTAAGGCAGGTGAGAGGTCGCAGGCTCGCCCTGGGCGCTTTGCTGTGGTCATGCCTCAGGTTCGAAAACTGACTTCTTTTCAGCGAGCTGGGCCTACCACCCTGCAGACCTCCGAACAGCCAGTCCCACAACCTGAACATGACCAAGCGCGCCAAGCCTGCAATCTGCATTGGCCCCACCTCTGGCTGCGGGCAGATGCCCACCTGCCTTGGCCACAAATGCACACCCGCTGTCATTCTCGCCACCTAGTCCCTGGAGCTGGCTGCCTGTCCCTCAGGGACCCCTGGAAAGGGGTTGACCCCAAAAACTGGCAGAACAAGGTATGGGACACAGGTCAGAGGGAAGGCTTGGGGATTCTATTCTAGAAAAGAGGGCAAGAGGTAGCCCGAGGAGCCCTGAGCAACCTTTGCAAGCTGTGTCCTACACAGGCCTCAGTTTACCATCTGCATGTTGGGAAAATAGCTTGGGCCTCCCAGAGTATGGCACCAGCAATGCCCATCACGGGCAGACATTCAGAAAACTTCTTCTGGGTGACTTTGGGAAGGAATCTTTTTGGTTAGTTCCAACCTGGGTCCTAAGTCGCCCTGCCCTCGTCCACCCTGGCTTAGGCAACTTCAGGTACCCCACAGAGGTTTCAGCCAAGCTGAGTGCAAAGGGCAGGACTCAACCCACGGTATCTCACTCCCACATCCCTGCACATGTCTTCACGCCACCTTACTGACCCTCCCCCAAACTGCAATCCTTTTTCCCCTCAGGCTTCTGCTGCCTTTTACAGACTCCTGGGCTGGAGGATACTAGACAAGGACAGGGAGAGGGCTCAGTACACAACTTTTCAGTGCAAAGTGTAGAAACTGAGACCCAGAGGCTGCACAGTGGACAAGTACTAAGCTAAGAGGTCTGTTTGGAGACTGTGGAGTACAGGATAGGCAGCCTGGCACAGGTGCCAAGCCTGTGCCTGGCTGCTACACTCATCTTGGAACGCAAACCGATGCTGGATGGCCCTTGAAGGAGGCGGGTGGTCACCGGAGCCTCCCCCGGGACACCCTGGATGGGCGGGGCAAGTAAGGTTGGTGGGGTTTCTTAGTCTGTTCAGACGGTGCCCCATGGAGCAGCCAACCAGCTGGGCCTGATAATGGCGACTGGGGCAGCCTGGCTTTTGGGGGGACCCTGGCCCCGGCGGCGAGTCCCCCGTACCGTGTGGGCTGCAGCATTGCGGGAGCGGGGCGCAGGGCGCCCAGGGGTGAGGGGAAAGGATGCCTGGGCCCTCCTCACCCTGGAATACGTGAGTGGCTAAATTATTCAGGGTCTGTGGCTGCTGCGAGCACATGGGCAGATGGGTGGGCCTGAGGCCAAGGCTGAAAGGGTGATACTTGTGCCCCACTTAGCAGCCCTGTGATGGGCACACAGCACCCCTATTGGTGTTCCCTTTCGTTATCTGCCCAGGGAGGACAGCACCTGGGATGGGAAAGGCTGAAGGTATACATATGTGTGCTGCCAGATGCAGAGCCTTGCAGGCCTATGTGCCTGGACATACATGTCTACCACAACCAAACAGGAAAAGCAAGCATGTGCTAAGGTCTGAGCAGACATGGCATCCTTGGTTATTTGTCTGCTTTCTGCATGTATGCACACACATTGTGGAAATTCTGTAGCCCAAAGGTGGTATGAGGACTGCCATTCTCAAGGCCCCCAGGGTGGAAAGGACTCCAGTTCTCTCCCAGGTGCACATTCCAATGGACATTAAGAGCATGTTCCTGCATGTGTGTGCCCCCAACCAAGTACCAGGGGTCTACATGCTTATCCACAGGTATTTGGCAAGATCACAGGTTTGCATGGGAGTAGTGAGAGCTGTAAGACCACCACATGTGGGTCTGCATAAGAGTACATCCTGAGGCAGATTCCACCTTGGCTGTCTTGGAAGTTGCGTGCATAGAGACACAGATGTCCACAACATGGAGCCCAGACTCATGGAGTCTGCCAGAAGGAAGGGTCTCAGCCCAGGGAGAGCTGAGGCTGTGGGGCCCAGACGTGTGTGTGTGTGTGTGTGTGTGTGTGTGTGTGTGTGTGTGTGTGTGTGTATGCTTGCCTCCAGGGAGGACACTTGGAAATCACAGGGACTTGCCTTAGGGATACTTAGGCACTGAGGACATACTCTAGACCTTCCCCCTTTGTGAGGGTTTGTGTTCTGTTTTGAAGAGGCCTACAGGACCCAGCAGGGCTGGCTCTGAGGTTCCCTCCATGGCAATGGGAGCAAATCTCAGGTGTTCAAGCCTGGGCCCCCACAGTTGTGCTCCAGCCTGCTAACCCCACCTGTCTCTCACAGATGCACTCCATCCGCAACTTGCCTTCTACTCAGAGCCGCGAGCAGCGCAGAGAAGACGGAGTGGAGGACATGACCCAGTTGGAGTAAGTGGGCTGAACTGGGGAGGGTCACTATGGGATTCTCCACTCTTAGGCAATGTCTTCTATCTACCTCTTAGAACATTTTCAGAGCCTCAATTTCCCTGTCTGCATATGGGTGTCATGAAATGTCACTAAAAGCCAAATGTATGCCAAAGTCAAAGCTCTGTGATTCACACAGGCGTTTTTCAAACTCCAGCCCTACCACTAGCTGGAGGACCTGGGCACATCATTTCCTCTCTGCATGTCTACTTCTCATCCATAAGACGGGATGAGTGGCTGGAACACTGGCGATGCCCATAATGTGTGAACTGTACTGGTCAGCACTGTGGCCTCATCACACTCTCAATCTTTGTGTCTGCTACCTTTTAAGGTCCTCCCAGTCTCCAGGGAAGTAGGCACAATAATTATGTTCATTGGACAGGTTAAGAAACTGAGGCAGCAGGGTGTGGTGGTGCACAGGGAGTGCTAAAAACCCAGCACTCAGGAGTCTGAGGCAGGAGGATCCCCATGAGTTCAAGGCCAGCCTGGGCTACTGAGTGAGTTTAAGGCCAGCCTGAATTTCATAGTGAGACTCTGTCTCAAAAAAAGTCAACTAATAAACTGGAGCACAGCAAGGTAAAGTAACTTTCCCAAGGTTAGTGTCAGAAACTGAAAGTCAGGTCCATTGAGTAAGGCATTGAGTAGAGAGGAAGCCCCAGGGACACTATACTAACAGCCCCTCTCCATGCTCTCCTAGAGACCTCCAGGAGGCCACTGTGCTGTCCAATCTCAAGACCAGATTTGAACGGAACCTCATCTATGTAAGCCCTGGGGCTGGCCTGCCCTAGGTCTGGCTCAGGGAGGCATCTGCCTCCTGGGGCCAGATGGGAAGTAAGGTTTCTCCCATCCAGCTTGGAACTATGGCTTCTGGTTTGAGTTCTAGGATTTCACCATTTTGGTATAGAATTCTACAGTCTGGAACTATGAAATTGGAACTTCTAAAACAGCCTCAGAATGATGGACATTAGAGACAGAGACATAGAGACAGGAAATCCAGAAACATGGCAAACACACACACACACACACACACACACACACACACACTGGAGACCTTACAGATAAAGCTTTTAAAGTCCTCTAATTCATAGAGTGGAGGTAGCCAAAGAGGTGAGAGTGACAGAGGCCCAGAAGGGACTGACTACTGCACATGCCCAGGGTTCCCCAACTCCAGGCAGTAGAGGTTCAACTTCAACCTGAGGCAGGTGTCCTGGAGCCTGGGCCTGACCATAAATAGATGATGTGGACACTTTGGCAGAATCATGGTTGCAGGCCTTGGCTCCTGAACACTGCTCCCAGCATCAGTCTTTGTGGCATCTGAGCTCTGTAATTAGAACACAGGAGCTGCTAGAATCTAGGTAGTCACAATAAGGCAAGGCATCCTTCCTGCTGGAAAAGGGCTCCAGGCTCCCAGAGCAGAGGAGGGAGGACCATGAGGAGCCCAGCCCTGAGGCCATCATTTGCCAGCAGACGTACATCGGCAGCATCTTGGTGTCTGTGAACCCATACCAAATGTTCGGGATCTATGGGCCAGAGCAGGTGCAGCAGTACAGCGGGAGGGCCTTGGGAGATAATCCTCCGTGAGTGTCTGCAGAGCTGGAGGGGGCCTTCCCTGGGGGTCTCCTGGGCCCCTCCCTGAGCTTGACAAGCCTTGGGATGCCCCTCAGCCATGGGTCAGGGTTGATGAGAGTGGACAGCCCACATAATCAACTCCCAGTTGCTTCCCAGATGTGGCCATGGCCCTCCCTGGAAGCCACTGTGAGGATGAGCATGGGCATATTTCTAGTGGGTAAGGGGTGGATAGGATTGGCCGCTTGGCTGAACACAGATACTCCACCATCACCACCACCACCCAGCCCTGGGGAGGTTTCTGACCACACAGGCAAGGCTTTTTCTAGTGACATCTAATTGCCTGTCTTGACAGACATCTCTTTGCAATTGCTAATCTCGCCCTCGCCAAAATGCTTGATGCCAAACAGAACCAGTGCATAATCATCAGGTGAGCTGAGCTTCAGGTACCTCTGAGCCTACCATGTCCATATCCCTTTCTTTATGGTGGGTTGGAGTGAGCCTAGAAGAGGCAATAAAAGATTGAATCTTACTCTTCCCCTTTACCTGGTCAGTGGAGAGAGTGGCTCTGGCAAAACTGAGGCCACCAAGCTGATTCTACGCTACCTGGCTGCCATGAACCAGAAGCGGGATGTCATGCAGCAGGTAAGTCTGTTTCTTGCTTTGCTGTCCTGTCTCCCCACGATGTTCAGTCAAGCACCCTGGTTGAATACGCCTTGTGTGCTCCCTGAGAGGCAGGTCTCCTTGTCTGAACTTGAGCAATGAGGAGGCTGTTTTGAAGGGCCGGGCTGGCCTAGGGCTGCTCCTTGTGCCATCCCTCTGAGGGAAGTCTTGCCATCCATTCATCCTATGTCAGAGTAGAGACCACATGGGCAGGGGGAGCCAACCCAGCTCTCCAGCCTGGCCTTACCTTCCCAGTTATAATCCCAGGGCCATTATATTCTCACACTCAGGCAGGCCCTAGCATTGAAGAAGCAGGACAGGTCTGGAGGTGGTGGTACATGAGTTTGGGATACAGCAGATGCCAGCCTGGGGCTGTTGGAGGACACTGGGACAGGGTCTGTTGCAGGATCAGAGCTTTGCTGATAAGAAGAATGCTAGGGGCTGGAGATACAGCTCAGCAGCATAAGCGCCTGCCTGGCAAGCTCAAGGTCCTGAGTTTGAGCAAGTCTGGGACACTCAA